TCCCTGCTGTCATACTGAGGTGGCTTCACATCCATTTTGTTACACTGTGTGAATTAGTAGAAACAGCTATTTCTGTAGTTCAAAACTGAGCAATACCAGTTGGTTCAAGGTGCTGCTAGTTACTGTTACCAGGATATACAGACGGAAGGAGGCAGCTTTCCTTCAAATGAACCTCTCACCATCATCCTCGGGATGAAGGAACACACAGTACACTGGAACGCTGGAATGGAGCCTAAGGAAAATGAGAAACTGAGCAAAAAGATTGATTTTGTCCCTTCTCATGAGCAAGGCAGGTCATTAGAAAGCACTTTTAATTAAGGAATAAATACAGGGAAAATTGCATTGGGATTTTCACTTCTTCCCAATTCATTTCTGCTGCTGCTCAGTCAGAAAAATGTAAGTTTAAAAAGCAAGTCAGCTTGTTCAGCTTCAGATTTGTTAAAGTTTGGTATTAACCATCACTGTTCTATAATACAAGGTTCCCATAATCATACTTCAAAATAGTATTTTGTGAAAATGTTTAATTCAGGTTCAAATTTATAAAACTTGGCATCATTTAAAAAACAGGGTAACATCGAAAGAATTTGGTCTCAATGAGTGTGCTGAAAAGAAAGTTAGAGCTGCATTAACTTCTCCATAGACTAATAAATGCCTCAAGAACTCAATGAATAGTTTAGAAAAATAGATTTTTACATTTTACTGGGGAGTAACAGAGGTAGACAAAAGGAAAATACCTGTTTGAGTGTAATGCCACGCTTCAGAACAACGTATCTGCATGGAAAAAGAGCTTTTAGTTCCTTACAAATCCTAGTTAATAGGAAGGCATTTGGTCTCGGTCTGTGTGGGTGCTCTACTTCAGTGGGAAGGCTAGAAGACACGGCGAGAACACTACCACCACGTTGGACTTCTGAAGGAAGCCAGTCGAAGTTGTACATCAATTGGAGAGAGGAAGGTTACTGCACATAGAATGGTTCTTTATTATCCAAAGTCTTGCTTCAAACACTAACACTAACCTTATTTTCATATCTGATACCATGATAAGGCTTCATAGGACTGTACAATTTTATACATTTGTCAATAAGTTTCCCTGTATCTGTTGCAATTCCACTGGAAAACAAGTGATTTAACTGTGTAGAGTGTTATATGACTATGCTCTCAAAAAAAACCCCTAACAAAACACGAGAGTAACAGATCTAAAGCCTGGAGTCTAGAAGCTGGAAGGCAAAAAAAGGAGCACTGAAAGCAATACCCACCACACTACATCACACTCTTCATATGCAGAAAATTCCAGCCCTCAAAGGTCTGTGGGGCTTATTACCAATAAAAATAACTAAGGCAGAAGCAACACAAAGCAGAGATGTAATGTGAATATGCCACTGGGTGCAATACAAACCAGGCAGTGCTTCAGATGCCCTGAATTGTTCAAAATACCTGCTTTGCTGAAATTCACACTTGTAAAGATGAGAAAATGGACTTTCTTAGCTGGCAACAGTTATAGCTCTTCTTTAGAATACAACCCAATGTGGGAAATTCATCATACCAGCTTATAATGAGCCCCCAGGCTTTTAAATCCTGAATTCAAATACCATCTCTGTTGTAAGACCAGGTATTTTGTCATGAAAAGATGCAATTCATAACCTCAGTGGCAAGTGTTAATTCAGATGCTCTGGTTGGCATAGCTACCCATACGTACTGATTACATATTTAAACAAGAACAAGAGGAAAAACAAAACCAAAACCCAAAACCAAGAGAACAAACCAAACTTAAAATATCATATAGACTTCTGGGAAAGAATATAGATGGGAATATCTGAGCACAAAGTTTGGACACATCAATTTTCAGAGTATTCTGAATACTCGAGGATGGAAAGAATTAGCATCTATGGGTTCTTGTATATTCATATTCATTCTTTCATTCACATTAATCCAATAGGAATTAAAAACCCCTCAAAATATCCTCCTTACAAACGCACACTTGTCACCATCCATATAAAGAACGTGCTAGGAATTTAGCACCAATGTTTTAATTGTTTGGTGTCTAAATCCATCTTCTTCTACCCTTAGGTATCAAAATAATGGGATTTTAAATGAAGAATGACTATGCCCAAAATGTCTCCCCCCCAAGTTATTTTTAGTAAGATATCTAAAGTTAGAATGTTTCCTAAGTCCTGCTTTTGGGAATATTTCTAAGAGGGCTAGCATTTGCTTTTTCCATAGAAAAGAATAGTATTTGAAAGCATATTTTCAAGTATTCTAACTTTTGCACAACAAACTGTAGTTCAAGTTGCCAAAAGCCTTGAAATTTTATGAAATATGGGAGATCATTCCCACTCTGAAGAGCTAAAGCAAGACATTGACGAGAACTCACACTCACCATTCTAACAAAGTTCAATGAAAGCTTTTACTCTAATGTTAAAGCAAAAACTAAACAAAGTCAACACAATCAGAACTATTTTGCATACCTACTGCATACAGACCATGAGAGTTTAAGACCAGTCTTATTTCCTTATGGCCTAGAATGTGTGTGCTCGTGCATTTCTAGTCTCCTTGACTAATTCCAGCCTCAACAGAAGATCTAAGCATCAACTGAAAATCAAAACAGGGGTAATAAAACATCTTTACTGAATGCTGTGATTTAATAATCTATCTTCACTCAGTTTGCCTTACGTTGGCTATGGCAACATTGTTTTCCACTTCCTTTAAGTTTGCTACTTGGTACTACTCTTATCATTTGCTACTTAAGGCATATCCAATGCATTCACCCTGTACTATATCACAGCATCTGTTCCATCAAATGATCCAGAGTACTCTGGAAAAGAAGTTAAGGGTAAGATACTGAGTTCCAAGGGGTACAGGAAAATTAGCAGTATAATCCACAAATCTTGTAATAGCTTTGCATTACTTCAGTTACATATAGTTACATAAACTTAAGGGTTGGAACTTATTCTACACTTACATCATGAAACACTGACAAGCATAGTTAGAACAAAAGAAGCCTGATGAGTTTTACTGCATTCTTGGCAACTTGAGTTACTTTACCTGAACAGCCAATTAATACAAACTTTTAGAACCTGATTAAATACTGCTTTTAATGAAAACTTCAAAGCACACAGTTGATGACATTCTAATATGCATATTTTCATATGAATATTGTCTGCAGTCACCCTGAAGAAAGGGATAAACTCAAACATCACCCTAAAACCCATGCTTTCAGAAAGCATTAAAGATGTTATGTATCTGCTTCAACATCACTGCCTGCAAGGCTGCTGTCTGTAGAGGGAGCACTATCTTCATTAATGCCCTCACCATTATTCTCCCTCTTCTGGGCTTCAGCATTTACATCCTCCTTAGATGTGTCATTAACATTTGAAGGTTGGCTGCCCTCAGACAGTTTAACACTACTTGTTGCAGAATCTGAATCAGATGCTGTCTGCTGCTCCTTTGCATCAGGATCCTCTAAGAACGATCCCCACACCTTGAGCCTTTCTTCCCTTTCTCTTGCAGTCTCCTCCACCTATTAAAGATAAGTTTATACACATCATTTCTAAGTCATACCTGTAACAATGAATATTTACACAGACAAGGTTATACACACATTGATACTGCAGTGGTATCTCAAGCCCTGCGGTCTGCGAACTAATGATGTGTACATCCAGTACATCCAGTGGCTGATCCTCTGACATCTCCAACACACTGTTTTTAGCATCAAACAGGTCCTTTACATTTTTGCTAAACTGAATAATTAAGGATGAATTTTTGGAGGCACACTAGCAGTAAAGGAGAAGCAAGACAGGGCAGGGGAAGAGTATGAGGCTGAGAACACCGAGCATTTCTCAAATTAGAACAAGTTTGCAGTTTGGAAGAAGTATTTGATAAAATAGGACCATGAAAGGCTACCTGATAATCTGTTACACCATCCCATGTTTCAGCACTGAGCTGACGGCCACCAAACCACCTTCCATTTAGAGTCAGCTTGCACAGATCAGCTTCTGTAGGCTCTTTGAAGGACACAGAAGCCACGCCATCAGGGTGCCGCTGTAAGGAGAGACAACTTTGCTTTAATAGTTTAATTAGTGATTTTATCCAACATCTTTTAGACTGTGTTACAAAATCAGCCTGGACACAGGTCCATCCTAATCATACAGAATAGCGTTCGGAAAATCCAATTTGCAAGTTTATGCATCTTGTTCTATTTGTAGGCAGAACAGACTTTCTGAACACAGAAAACTGTTTCAGCTACTTCAGCTACAAATACATGAATTCATAAACTTTCAAACTTGTGACATGTATCCCAGTTATTGTGAAGAGTTAAAGTTTGCCTTCACCTTGGGTGTAACAGAACAGAAATTCATTTCCAAACCAGCTAATTTTAAAATACTGAAAGATTAGGTCAAGTTTCCAGGAAACAAAGACACAAACCAATTAAATGCTCCACTCAAATGTAAAGAATCCTGAATGTTTTGCACATTTAGACATTGTGCCAACACAACACGTAAAAAAATACCTACATCAAATATGAGAACCTTCTTTACTTGACCAAACTTTTCACACTCTGTCCGCAGATCTTCTCTGATCTCATTTAGCACTAAGGGATCCTCCTGCAATGCAATCACACAGCTTAAATTCAACAGAAGCACTTTCTTCTCTCAGCTTTATTTTGGCTCAATCACCAATGGAAGACATCTCCCATCTATTAAAAGTTCATCAATGTCGTCTTGTGATGCTGCCTTTCTGAAGCCACTTGGGAACTGGCAGACAGCCCACATGTGAAATTAATAAATGCTACTTATTAGTAAGGTTATTTTGTGCCAGTTTCTCCATTCTAACATACTGGTTACTCCTCTTTCCATCCCAAAGAGTACTGTTGCTATACACACAGTGAAAAAGGCCAACCTGAAAAACACAGTCATTCCAACCTCTTTTTTCTTGCTTTTTGGAAATAGATGAATGAATTTCAAGCAGATGCTTGACACAGGAAAAAACCCTGCCCAAACTAAGTTTAATTTTGCTCTCATCCACTTAGATGAGATCTGCTGAAATTCTTTGAGCAGAAAGTTCAACATTAACAACTGCACAACCTACAGCAGCAAAGTGCACCCTCCTACCTCAAAGTCCTTTGGGTGGAACATATTCCTGATAATAACGATGCGTTCATGTCGCATCCGAGTTGCACCATCTTTCTTCTCCGGCCTCCAATCCAGCTGTCTAATGAAATGAAGCAACAGTAAGAAGATATTGTTGCGGCTCTCTTCAGTTTCTACAAGTATTTGTTGAAAAAAAATCATTAATTTCTCGAAAGACAGCAACTAAAACACGTATTTTGACACAGAATTAAGTTATTCTTCTAAAAAAAAAAAAAGCAGTTAAACATCCAGTTTTACCACTTCTACAAAGCAGTTGAGGTTTTAAGGTACTTAAATGTTCACAGAGGGAACGAATATAAATTATTCAAAAAACCCCAGCCTGGTTTGTGTTGGATGGACCTTAAAGCTCATCCAGCTCCAACCCCTGCCACGGGCAGGGACACCTTCCACTAGAGCAGGTTGCTCCAAGCCCCTGTGTCCAACCTGGCCTTGAACACTGCCAGGGATGGGGCAGCCACAGCTTCTCTGGGCACCCTGTGCCAGCGCCTCAGCACCCTCACAGGGAAGAGTTTCTTCCTTATATGTAACCTAAATATATATAAACATATATTTCAGTATTTGGTCCTATGGAGGCCAGCATCTCTTGCCCCTTGCAAGTAGTAAAGTATGGTAGAAACAGTATGTGGACAGACAGAATGTTTTTACCACATAAAAGCCTGGATACCATGTCAGGACTTGCACACTCTCATACACTGAGCTAAAACCCCAACACCTTTTACCTCCCTGGAGTTGTAATGCTTTCTTCTAGATCTGCAAGAACCTTGGTTCCCTATAAATGATGTTAATGTGTCAATCACTACGTCAACACGCCATTTAGGAGTTCCTCCCCTTCAAATGGGTATTTTTTAAGCTATTTTGCTGTCAGGTGAGACTTCACTTTCTGCATAACTCTCAGCATTGCATCCAAAGAAAGCAGCTCTTTAGTAATAGCCTTAGAATTCAAGCAATATTTTACTGAAATAAGAAATACAAACTTCTGCTGTTGAGACAACTTCTTCTTGTAGTCTTTACATTTCTTCTTCTTTTTGCTTGCATCATACTCCCCCTTCAGTTGAAACTTTGCAACTTCCACATGCAATTTATAGCCTCTAATTTCTGCCTCATCCAGAAGTCTCAATGCAAGTTGAACTGATTCTCTCTATGTGAAGATAAAACAGAACACAAGTTTTAAAGCACGTGGCACAGTCAAATTATTCCAATCACACTTAATTCGGAATATTGTGCTAAGAATCAATTTCCTGTCACTCTAAACCATAATGCCATATCTCTTCTAAGTCTCTTGACATGCAGCTAGCTGGCAATGCTTTCTTTATCAAAACCCAGTATTTCTTCACCACTGTTATAGCAACATCCTGGTTTCAGGACAAGCAGGTTAATGCTCCCAAAAGCAACTGCATTCATTTCATTCAAATATGTCACAGAAGTTAATCTGCAATGGTCAAGCAAGCTGATGAAGTCCTTTAGAATGGAGACTGTCTTTATACCTGTGGACTGAACAGCCCCAACTACTAAAAGTACAGAAATAGCATAGACTACAGTGCAGCTGCTTTAGCAGTGCCTGGTGCTTTCTGCAGCATTAAAGCAGATTGCACGTGCAAGCAGCGACTTTCCAAATCATTCACAAGTAAAACACATGAAAGAAATAGCCCTGCAGCCTGAGCTTCTGTAGGTTAATACAGAATGCAAGAACAGTTCTGAACCTAACCAGTTCTCAACCAGCATTTACTCAGCTGTAAATACAGGACTACAGTACGTTCCTCCCTGTCTCGTTATTGCTGGTCATATAGTGGCAGATTTTCAAAGTAAAAGGTTAAGAAGTCCTTCATTTCATCCCATAATCAGTAGCACCCAAGACAGGAACATGTAGAGACATGTACAGCAAGCATTATGAACATTTCCAGGGGTAGGGTAGGGATGAATTAAGAGGAAATGAATGACAAGCACAAGCAGGTAAGTGGCATTTCTGAAATAAATCTGTAAAACAACCCCCTAAATCATAAGATGCAGAATCTTCCGAGTATGATTTTGAAACAGTGGTCTTAAGTATCTTCAATGGGAAGGAAAACTGCATGGCAGTGCACCACTGACCTTCAGATAGCAACACAGACCATCTCCTTTAAGATTTCCTTCCTTATCTTTGTACAGTTTGATTTTGTGTTCTTCTGTCTGAGGATCTCGCATAATGATGCCGCATTTTGACATGACTTGTACAAATTCATCTTTTGTAATGTCTGGAGGTAAACCTGCAAAATCAATTCAAACAGGCGGCTTCAGAACGTTCAATTGCTTTTTAAAACCTCACCAGAACAAAAACCCCACAGTATTTATTTAAATGGAAGGTCTCAAGGACAAAGTTTTACATACTCCATAAGAAAACCACTGCCCCTCGGACAAGTATTTGTGGTATTACCTTTTAAACACTATTTCCTACCAATGTTTTGATAATCCTCTTACTTCTTAATAGGTGGAACATACAGCAACATCACTGTGCTCCCCAATATACACACCTAGAGCTGCAGTGTTATACACTACACTGACACTGCAGTGGACACAATGGCCTATGCTAGTATAACTATAATGCCCAAGTTTGATGTTCCACTACACCTCTAGAGACAAAATAACCACCCACCCTATAAAGAGATGACTCTTTTTCTCCATCTACAAATTTAACAAGAAAAGCAGCTGATAATGTATGGAGTTTTTGAAGTCTGTACTTTGAGGTGAGGACAAGAAAAGAAACCAAAATGGATAAAATTACAAGAACATTCCATGCCAGTTTGGCCTGGATGAGGAGTCTTGACAAATTAAATGTGTGCGTTTCTATGACAGCTCAGAACCACCAAGTGTACCTTTGTGCATGCACCTAAAATAGCACCTGACATCCAGAACAGGGAGAGAAATACCACAATAAACACACAAATAGTTTCATCTGAGTTTCCCCATTTATTGCTCGTTCTATTTGCATCTTCTGGTTTTGGTATATGCTATTTCCTCCTTCTTACCTAATAATCTAACAATGTACTTATTAAATCAAATAAAAATAGAATACCAGACTGGTTTAGGTTGCAAAGGAGCTTAAAGCTCATCCAGTTCCAACTCCTGCCACAGGCAGGGACACATTTCACTAGAGAAGGTTGCTCCCAGCCCCTGTGTCCAACCTGGCCTTGAACACTGCCAGGGATGGGGCAGCCACAGCTTCTCTGGGCACCCTGTGCCAGCGCCTCAGCACCCTCACAGGGAAGAGCTTCTGCCTCAGAGCTCATCTCAATCTCCCCTCTGGCAGGTTCAAGCCATTGCCCTTGTCCTGTCCCTACAGGCCCTTGTCCAAAGCCCCTCTCCAGGCTTCTTGTCAGCCCCTTTAGATATTTAAATATTCAGTGATGCATATAATCAATGCAGTATCTTATTACAAACTTGTTCTCATTATCCTATTCCTTAAGTGCTCACAGAAATTGTTTTTCTTGGTGGTCGCTTACTTAAAAGAAATTAGTGTCTTGGCTGACACTAATATCTCCCAGAATAATAACAGCTCCCAGAATATCACATTTAAAAGATAAAAGTATGGAGTATGTCCCTTATATTGACTTTCCCACATCTGCAATTTAAAGGTCACAAAGACATTATACGTTCAGAAACATAAGGTTAATTAACTTGCAATTGGAAGACTGACCAGATAGTATTAGAAGTCAGTGAGACATATATGAGTCTCTTTTATCATCTTTAGCTCAACCTATATAAAGACACAGTGTTACTTACCAGTCACATAAACGTTTGTGTTTCTATCTTCTTCAACATGAAACCATCCTAAAAACAAAGAGTTTTAATTCAGTTATGCCAATATATAAACATGGGAGGACACACTGATGTTCCTGTTCCATCTGATTTCTTTTTTTGCTTCTCATGGAAAAAGCTCTGAACATGCCTTAACTTGCCTTTTTTCCACCATGTATATGGGCTCAGGAGGATACCTGTGAAGTACCATACAATTTTAAAGCCATTCTGGAAGCTTTCAGAACAACCCATATCTTTGCTGCACATAGAACACCAAACAGTTGCCAGTTTCCAGTCAGTACTATGCAGGTTGCAGCCTACACAGAGGGAAACCCTTTGTCACTTACCTGGCTCAAGCTTCCGTTTTTCTGCTTTTTGCTTTGGATCTGTTTGCTGTGGTCCTTTCTCATTTGCTGATGGTTGTGTTCCTGATGTCTTAGAACTTACTGGTTGCTTACTTTCAGCTGCTGTGCCGGAAGCAGATGAGCTGTCTGTATCATCTGCATTGAAGCCATAGTTGGCATGATACGTTGCCAGGAAATCTTCTGTTATCTGAAAAGAAATTAGGGAAGTGAATCCAAATTTTTGAAGAACTACAAATTCAGGTTTGTAAGGGGTTTAATGGTAGGTAGAGGATGGTCAGGTTTTAATCTGTCAACATAGAAAGTAACAGTATTTGAAATCATCTTTGTAAAGCCACAAGAAGAACCAGCTCAGGCATTAGCTGAACTACAGTGACTACAAATTCCATACAGCACACAAAGTCCTTAAGCAAACATTTCACAAGTTCTGCCTTTTTTCAAGCAAAGTTTTCTGCTTGGTTGAATTGGATTTACGGTTGAATTGGATTTACACGAAGGACAGAAACCAAACACTCCAGACCATGTGGAAGAGATAAAGTGACACTGACAGTGAGCCAACAACTTCCCCACAGATGATGAATGACTGACATTCGCAGGCATCTGCCTTTTCATCGAAACATTTTCTCCAGTGACATATGTTTGTGTTGATAGGCAATAAATACTGCATTTCCAGGCATATCTGAACACACTGTTTGTAAGGGTGTACACTCTGTACCCTACTAATTGATAAATAATTCTCTTGCTCCTTTCTAGAGACTATATTTGGATATAATACAACAGTAGCAAATGTCTGTCTTGTAGAGACCAAAAACAAAAACACTCCACAAATTACATCCAGTATTTCCAGCCAGGTAGATTTCAATACTAACCATTAGTATTTTAATAGTATAATAATACATCATAGTATTATTATACTATAGTATAGTATAATAATACATCATAGCTGCTTCTGCTACATCACTGCATTGTGAAGTTACACACACTGAAATGATTTATTCCCAAAGCTGAGCCTTAACCTTTGAAAATGGTACCTAATTCTGACCTGTGCTGCACCTGCTTCATCTGTTCCAACAGGCAACAAAACTTACTGTCACTGAGCTATTTAAGAGTGGCACAACAGAGAGAAGTGGGTGCCAGTGATAATGATGCAAGCTTCTATTTGTCATAATGAGTTGATGCTTGATGTTTCAACTCTAAGCTTTTGGCTCCTCTTATAGACATGACATAATGTCAAGAGAAAAAGAGTTCTTCAGCTTTAGTGAAGAAAAGAAGGGTCTTGTACTCTAACCAGGTTCATTCTACTTGACACTAGCAATCTTAGCAAAGCCTTAGTTTCCCAGTTGATGAAATCAAGAGATTTAAGAAGCTTTTAAAGTTTCTGGTGAACAATATTTTTCATGTTCATCAGAGAACCTACCAACGAATTAGTGATTAAACCTGCAACAACTAAGCACCTTCCTGCAGCAGTATCATTTTTCAGCTTCAGGGGGAACCACAATCTCATGTAAAGCCAAGTTTATTCTTAGCAAATTACCTACCATGGACTGACAAATTTTGCCAGTCAATAACAGAGACTTTTCTCCCCATAATATGCTATCATCCTACCATATATGCTAACTACTTCAATTTAAAACGTGTTTTTGCAGACATAAAGGCATTTATGTAAGTAGAAAGGCTTTTATTGGAACTTACGTCACATGGAAAACAAGCACTCACACAATTTCTTACTTGGGGCTTCAATCTACTTCTGGTGGAGAACATCAGAGAAAGAGATCAGTTCTATCTCCACAGCTGGATAGTTTGGGGCAATTAAGCTTATAGGAAAAGAAATACAATACTGAGGGACATGCTGGCATGTAATTAACTACTGGTCACACTGAAATGGAAAGGAATAGATTAACCAAATGAAGAACAGATACCCTGCGCTTCCAGACAACATCCAGTGTGGTTTTTCACAGCAAGTGCTGAAGGCAGACAGATGAATTCAACATGTGATTTTGTGCTATATCTGTGAAGGATTAGAAGAAGTTGGTATCCATCCATACATGGTACCATTGAAAGAAAAATCATCAAATAATACATGAGGTTGCCATCACTTTTAGTAAATATTTGACTGTCTCCCATCTTTGCTGAGGAATGTTAACAGTGAATGCCATTAACTTTCTGCACTGCTCTGAAATCAGCTTTAGCAGAAGTTCAGCTCTATCCCAAAGCAGAGCAGCAGTGCAATACTAGTCTGGAGATGATGCTTATTTAGACCAGTCAGACTATTTTAATCTTTTGTCAGAGAACAGAGGTAAGGGATTTTATTACTGCCCATGGAGTAGAGACAGGACTCCAACTTTTAGCTCCTGCAGTCTCTTATATCTATTTTGATAAAACATTCTGCTGTATAATCATCAGCAAAATGAAGTAACCTGAGATAATACATCTAGTTCTATTGCTAGATCTATGACACATACTGCTTCACAATGATTATTCACCAACTTCTACTAATAAGCTTTGCTGTTCCTATATAACCTGTCCAACCCTTAATGTTATCTCCTCTCCATGAGAGAAATTTGAGATAGGAAAGGCACTTAGGAAAGGCCTGAGAAAAAGAGATAAAAACGAGGTGAAAAAGAGGGGAAGGAACAGGGAGGTTGGAACTAGATGATCTTTAAGACTCCTTCCAACCCAAACCATTCTGGCTCTATGAAAAGTTACTGTCTCACTGGATATAGTCCTCCACAGGGAGCCAGGGATGCTCAGTTCCCCACTGCTCCACTTGGTGAGTCTGGACTTTCCACATGTTTTTATCCCTCCATAAGCCATCTGCTACAGGGACACCTTACTAGGTTTACACACATGTAAACCTGCCACTACAGGCTTCATTCTCACTCCCATTCCCCGAACTGCAATGAATTCAGAGTCACAAATACGAACTGGTGCATTTATCAAGTATGTGCTATAAAATGTCTTAAAACTTCTAAATTAAGTAACTGCCCTTGTTCATTGGTATTAGTAACCAATCTATTATGTCACTCATAGATTATCGGATGGGCTCAACACATTACACGTTCCCTCGCACCTTGAGGAACGGTTGTTAAAGTAAGTTCATTTTTTACACTTAGAAGTGTTTAATAACAAAACCAACATGAAAAACTGTAACGTATTCCCATTCCCTGGAAGGCCTGTAAACTTAATCTGGAACTAGATCTTCAAGGTCCCCTCCAACATTAACCATTCTAAACACCACTTATTTTTCAAGATCTAAGGAGAGGGAAGGAGACATCTTTACACATGCATCGTTTTCAGATAATAATATACTGCTCCATTTTCATCTAGACCTTCTAACAGGCCAGTTCACAGAAAGACAAAGATCAGGGTCTGGAACTGGATGATCTTAAGGTCCTTTCCAACCCAAACCATTCTGTGAGTCTTATGCTTCTACGATCACCACAGCTCCTGCAATAAAGAAACCCAAACACGTCAAAGGCAGAACCGATTCACCGAGACCCATAGATCA